TGATATTCACCACGCAATCCACTCCCACACCACACACTCTCTGCCTTCTCTCTCCCTCTGGTCTCTCTTCTCTCCTTCTCTCTCGTCTCTGCTACTCACACACATCCCCACAAATGATACTACAGTACCACCACGCACCCACTACCACGCACACACGCACACACATCCACCCCATCACACTACACACAACACACTCCGCCCCACTCATGTTCACACACACATACACACACACCGCGCGCGCTACACACACACACCCGCACACACCCACACACACACCCACACCTACAATACACACACACGCGCGCGCGCATAGTGGTTTTGTTTTCTTCTATCTTTCTCTCACCCTTTTTACTCATACAATAGTTAATTATTATTATTTCAGAAAACGAACGCGCTAGATTTTCAACCCGTCCACCAGTCACTGGCACCGCGCCGCCGGCGACACCAACACAGGAGACAAGCACAGACGCGAGGACGGACGCAGAAACTGACGCAGAAACGGACGCAAGAACTGACGCCGCGACACCGGACGCAGAGCTGACGCAGGAACGGTGCGGGATAGACGCAACCACTGTGACGCAGGAAGCGGGAGCGGTGATAGACGCAACTACTGACGCAGGAGCGGGAGCGGGGATAGACGCGGGAACAGACGCCCCTCGACGTGCCTCCCGTCTTGGTAACATTGCTTTCCACAGTGTCTTTATTCTTGATTAAATAGGCTTGCCAGGCTCCTGTCTCTTTTTCTCCGGACTATTCCCCGGCAATAAGCTCATAACCCTTATAAGAGTTATTTATTTCGCGCGATATCTTATTAGTGAGTGCCCACAATAAAGATTTCTGAGATATCTTTTATTCTTTTCATCGCGTGCGTGTTTCGTGCCTTGCGTCCGCTGTGCCGTGTGGTCCCGTGCGTGGGTACGTGCCGTGCGGGTCGCGTCCCGTGGTGTTCGTGCGTTGTTGTCCGGCGGGGTGTTGCGGCGTGTGTTCCGTGCGCATTAGCGTCGCGTGCGTGCGGTCTCCGTAGCGTGTGTACGTGCGTGTGTAACCGTGCGGGCGTCGAAGCGTCGCAGTGTGTCCTGCGTGCGTCGCCATGCATGTTCCGTGCCGCTGCTGTCGCGTGCGCTGTGTCCGGCCTGCGTGCGTGTGTTCGTGTCGTGCGTCGCATGCGTGTAATCGTGCGTTGTGCCGTTGCGTGGTGTCCGTGCGTGTTCCGCGTGTGTCCGCATGCGTGTGTCCGTTGCGTGTGTCCGTTCGTGCGTGTCATCCGTGCGTGTGGGTCGCGTGCGTTGTGTCCGTGCTGTGCCGTCCGCATCCTGTGTCCGGTGCGTGCGTGTAATCCGTGCGTGGTGTAGCGTGGCGTGTGCCGTGCGTGCCGTCGGCATGCCTGTGTCCGCGCGCGGCGTCGCGTGCGTGTGTTGCCGTGCGGGCGTCGCATGCCCATGGTCTTGTGCGTGCGGTCCGTGCGCTGTGTCCGCGCTGCCGTACGTCGCGTGCGTCCGTCGCGTGCCTGCGTTCGTGCGTGCGTGGTTGTTTCCGGCGTCGCGGTGCGGCTTTCTTTGCGTGTGTCGTAATGCGTGTTTTCCCGTTGGCGTGTGTCGTATGCGTGTGGCCGTCTGCGTGTGCCGCGTGCCGTGTGTCCGTGGCGTGTCGTCGCCAATGCCGTGTATCCGTGCCGTGCGTCCGCATCATGTGTCCGTGCGTGCGCCGCGGTGCCCGGCGCGCCAATTTTTTTTCCACTTGAGTTCCCGGACCCACCTAAGTATAGTGTTTGTAATCACTGGTTCCATCTATAGTGTTGGCTTATAGTTCTGTTAGGTTCGGTCACACGTGTCAGGTACGTTTTACATTGTTTGCTTCGAGGAAGTCCGATGCATGGATGTGCCTGCTTGCCATGTGCAATCCGGAACTCCAGTGGGGAAAAACAATGCTGCCCGGGCGCGGTGTTTTTGCCATCTCTGTGTCCGTGGCGTTGCGTCGCGGCGGTGTCCGTGCGTGTTTCGCGTGCGTGGGCTTCGTGCCTGCTGTCCTGCGTTCGTGATGTCCGTGCGGTGCGTCCGCGCGTGCTGTGTGTCGCGTGCGTGCGTCGCATGCATTGTTCCGTGGCGTGCGCCGTGCCGCCGTGCCCGTCGGTGCGTGTTCGTGCGTGCATCGCGTGTGTCGCGTGCATTTGCTTTGTCCGTGCGTGTGTGTCGCATGCGCTGTCCCGTGCGGGGTCCCGCATCGCGTGTGCCGTGCGGGTTGTGGTCGCATTGCCGCGGTGTCCGTGGCGTGTGTCCCTGCGAGTGGTCTGTGCGTGGCGGCGCCATGGCGTGTCCGTGCGTGTGTCCCCGGTGCATGCGTCCTCGTGCGTGGGTCCGTTGCGATGTGTCGGTCGCGTGCCCGCATGCAATGTGTCCGTGCGTACGTCGCCTGCTGGCGTCGCCCTGCGTCCCCTGTCCGTGAGTGCGATATGCCGCAGTGGCGTCGCATGCGCGTGGACCGTGCGTGGCGTGCATGTGTTCGGCATGCGTTCATGTGTGTTCGTGCAATTTTGCGTTCATGTGTCCGTGCATTGCGTTCATGTGTTCGGTGCACATGCGTTCCACATGTGTTGCGTGCGTGCCGTTGTAACCCCCGTTGTACGTATCTACCACAGCGTGGCGACTCGGCACAGTGAGCTCACAGCGGTCGATTACCGAGCAGGTGACGCGGTGCTGACCCGATCCCCTTCCTCCCTGCCGCTGCCGACGCGGCTCATCGCGTGTGCGTCGGAGCATTCGCGGCTACCCTCCCCTCCCGGCAACCCGCCCTGCTAGCATACGCCAGCGCATCGCCCAGGCTCCCTGCTGCGGAGCAAGCCATCGTCATGCCGTGAGTGTTACCTACGGCTCTCGCTCGCTTAGGTGTCGTCAAAGCCCGCGCAGCCGAGTAATTGGTAACGTGGAGTTCCTTGCTCGGCTCCGTAATCAACTCGGCTGTCCATTGTAAACTCTCACTAATATCCAGGCAGGTTGCCTGCGTTGAAAAACAGACAAACAATCCAGAATACGCCCCAGGATAAGATAGCCCCTCTAATTCCTATCCTCTAGATTGACCAAATATCGAGAAGGTATCGGATTTTTGTTCCTCCTGAGCGAACAGAAAACCGAACCTCGGTAAACGTCGCGAATGCCCCAGTAAAGTAATGTCCGAGGTCCACTTCGGCAGTCCAATCAGGACCTAGGCGGAGCAACCTAATGTGATGGCATTTGTAGTACGAATTACATCTATCTATATGCGTTGGTCGCCATGATATGATATCGTATCTTATCCATCGTTGTTGCGCCGCGTAGTCAGTTTGGTCTCCAGTAAGGTCAAATGTGAGACAGAGCGGGCGAAGTAGAGAGAGAGAGAAGAGAGAGCGGAGAGGAAGGAGACGAGAGAGGATAGAAATAGATAAGAGAGAGAGAAGAGAGAGAGCCGAGAGAGAGAGAGAGAGGCAGAATGCGCGCGAATGAGTAAAAGAAAGAAAGAGCGAGAAAGGCAGAGCGAAAGAGAAAGTGAGTGTAAGAGAGAGAGAGGCAGAGCCGACGAGAGAGAGCAGAGAGACGAAGCGAGAGCGAAAGAGAGAGAGAGGACGAAACGAGTGAGAGAGGGGGAGGGTGAAAAACCAAAAAGAGAGAGAGAGAGAGAGAAGTAGAAACAGAAACAGATAGAAAGAGTGAAAGATGAAGTGAGACATTTTCATTTTTTCACCTTATATTTTTGTTTCTTTCTGCTTAGCGCCTTACCAGTACAAGCCGACAACAGCAACGGCCGATATTCAGAGTAGCTCCGAGCCACTGCTGAGGGTCAATCCGGAATATGTCGACGGACTAGGTCACGGCATCAGCAAGCAGACGCCATCCGGATTCTTTAGAAGAAGGTCGGGCACTGGCCGGAAAGAAATCAGCGGCGACATCGTCAACCCGTAGTAACCATGACAACGCACGATGCAAAAAGCTATACGCGCGCGCATTAGTTTGAAGGAGGCCTAATAATTATAATCGGTTTTTTCTGTGACGTGGTAGCAGCGCCGACGACTGCAATGACGCGCGTCGTGCGCAAAAAAACACAGTGATTAGATCATATGTGTCATATGTAGCGCGCCCACACGGAGGCACGTCTATGACTTCGTTTGTTACTAATGCATCCATTATGTAGAGCAACATATTGTCGCGGACGACGCGAGTTCCTACATTTGCACTGCACTTACGACACCTACTCCTGCATATATACCTCGAAGCGGGAGGAGAATATAGCACGATATTCTACCGTCTAGTGCATTGGCGATCTATTCCCGATGTGAACGCGTATCTACGCATAGAAGCGAAGGTTGTACGCGAAAAGACGCGACGAAAATACCGCGATATTAAAATTTCAGTTTTGTCGTTGCAGTGCGTATGCAGGTTATTAGAGTCTCTCAGGCTTCCCGCGCTCACGGCAGCCGCGCTGTGCTATACTCACCTCGCTCGCTCGCTCTCCGTCTCTGCACACATAATTAAATCGGTAGTGTGTTTACCTACACCCCGCTCGTCAAGTTACGAACTTACCACCGACTTGTGGCTAACCATCAATGGCTTCAATCGCTCGCTAATAGTTCACCCTACCCCCGCGCCGTCCGCTTTACCCGACATTGCGTGTCTTTATAGAAGAATTTGCAGGATTGTTGTAGTTTGTCGGGCGGTTGCGTGTGATATTATATTATACTTTTTCGATCGCGTTCGGAAAGAGCAAGCATATGCAGCGGTGCGACAATCGCCGGATTCAATCCACACGTTTATTGAGGTTTTTAAAAATAAATTTACAGCACTCAACGAAACGGAGAGCGCCGCGTCGCCATGTTTGACGAGCGGGCGAACAAAGGTGACCGTTACACGTGACCGCCGCGTGACCTTTCAGAGCTTTCACCGTGCACTTAGTAATTAGGCGCGGGCACATATACCGTGTGCAATGGCGAGGTGTAGTGACGTCATCTGATGGCATGCCCAGGTCGATAGGTGGCGTTAAAATCGGAGCCGCCGTAATGCAGATTGACACGTGTCGCGAGCGTGGCACAGATATGACGTTCCGTAGATTTATTCCCTATGCCTCGTGCTGTATGTTGCACAGGGCATACCTAAAGCGCCGCGGTCAGATCTAAGCATTCACAGTCGTACTGAGAAAAGGAACAGTATAATCGTGACGTCAGGATACGCGGTAGCAGTTCTGAATACGACTGACAGTGCAATCCTCTCGCAGTAGCTTCACATAGTAGCAGCTTTACAGCCTGCTGCTATGTAATGCCTCTAGCTCTGTTGGCTGACGAACACATCTGCTTTCGCTGCGCTAATGGCGCACGGCAATTGATATTTACTGTCGATTTCTTCGGCTTGCGATTTGAACATCCATAGAAAACGAAACCCGTTAATCTCAACTTACGAAAGATTTTTAGGGGAAAATGATACAATGTGGGAGAGTTTCTTTGCTACTGACGTCACAATATAAAACTGTAATTTCTCTGCATTAACATAATAGCACTTAGAAAGAAAAAAATCGCAGTTTATTCTTGCTCTGGTTGTAACAGAATTAATGAGAATAAAAAGAAGCATCAATTATAATCTACAACGTAAAAATGTTGAAACCTTTGATGGCTAACCGAATCAAACAACACTGAGCGTAATACAAAATGGCGGAATATCTGTCTATTAAAAGTCTCATAGCATGGTCCAAACGACAAAATTATAACACCCGTGCACCCAAGCAGTATTTACGTTTTAAGAATGTACCAAATGTACCAGACTCTAATTCACTAAGATTACCTATAGTTTACACGCATACACGCACGCAGTGACTGTAATTTGTGTATCAATGAAAAACCTTCTTTTTTTCGCGTAAGAGTATAGGAAAAACGGACGGCAATATTTGAAGTTATATTAAGAATATAAACAGACCTAACTTTTACACGAACTGCCCGAATATATAACTATTGTCTATTTGTCGCGAGTCACAAACGAAATTACACAACTTATGACAAATCGATATATTTATATTCAAAAAACAAGCTGCATCGCACAGACACGGCGGAAGATGCTCGCTCGCTCGACCCACCCGTCAGTCATTACTGCAGGCCTACCATGAGCCGGACGGAGTCCACGGTTCTCTTCCTCCGAAACCATACTCTTCTTAAACGTCGCGGTCTCATGCTGCCATCTGGCGGAGACTAGTCTATTAACAGTTACGCTCCCAGAGAGAGAGAGAGAGAGAGAGAGAGAGAGAGAGAGATGCGAACGCGAAAGAGGAAGAAAGATAGGGCGTGAGAGTGAGAGGCAGATAACGATAAGAGGAAAGATCGAAATGAGGGCGAGAAAAAGCGAAAGTGAGAGAGAATAGAAGCGAGAATGTGAGAAAACGAGAGTGAGAGCCGGAGACTCGATGAAAGTACACCCTGTGGGGCATGGCAGCGTGCGGGGCAGGCCCCTCTCTCGTGACACGGCACACGCTGAGGTGTTCACAATGTCCTATCTAGTCAGCCTGCTAACCCGACGAAGGTCTATTCCATGCGAATACCTGACAACGATGAACTCAACGACCATATATTATACGCAGTGCTCCCTGCGATGGACTTACGGGTTGAATATAGATATTATATTTATCTTTAACATCTCCTCGACACTGGCTAATCTAGAGTCAATGCTTCGTTTGAGAAGGCATCCTTTGAGGAAAACGAAACGAAACTGGTTGTTACAAACTAAGCTCTTGCTGCTGGTGGGGGTGGGGGGGTATCAATATGAAAACGTATGCAAAACAACGCTAGAAAACAAACGAACATCTCTCGTACACGTATATGAAACATCCCTGATGATTGACGATCGACACAAGAAAGACGAAGAATATTTTTTACAGTATAAGTAGAAAAACGTGCGACATGCAACGATACACGCAAAACGATAACGATTACTCGTCGAGTATTTATCGAGTATAAAGGGTCGTAATATCCTCCTCTAATCCGAATAACTCTATCGGGCCAATGATATCAATAGCAAACAAAATCGCTGAAATATAATCAAATCGTATAAACACTAGAGGCGTCTGAAGTACAGCGATAAATTCTATGTCGTTTATCATTTCTAGATCGCCTAGGCAACGAGTAAAGCCGAAACTCAAGCCACAAAAACGAACACATTTAAGAAGAAAAAGTTACTTAAGGTAAACAGTTCGCAAAAGGGGCACATAAAATATATCAACACAAAAAATAACTCTTTTTTCATTATTAATCACCTTTGCAAAATTACACACCAGTTCAAACAAACAATGTGCGCCAGGCCGATAGTCAGTGGCGACATCTCGCGGACCGAATTCGGTAGCGCGACCAATCGATCTAGCGCCCACTTCAGACGGCTTCGCGTAAGGTTTAGCCGCTTGTTGCGACGTAACAGATCTGCTGTCACGAGCGAGTGACAATCAGGCGACTAGTCGCAACTACGGGTGACGCAACGCAAGCAACAGAAACACGTGTAAGAGGGAGGGGTGCCGCGAATAGGAGGTAACGGCCAGGGGTAGCGCGTTCAGCTACCGCGGGGGGTGGGGAGTGTGTGTGGGACAGCCGCAATGGCCACCACTACGCTACAAAAATCACGCAAAATGGTACGGTGGCTGAGAAAGCGCAGGGAGAGGTAGCGAACCGAGATGGATTATGACACCGCGTAGAATCGAAAGTTTAAGGGGCGGGATAGACGATCTGCTCTCTTCTGATTCAAATAGATTCAACTTACAGCCAATTGTTTTTTAGCGCGACGTTCAATTGTTAATAGGTAAATGACGATCGCAACCGGAAATCAAGTTAGTGGCGATATCAAGCGTTTTGTCGTATCGCGGTGGTTTATTTTAGGGGTTAATGCCTAGCTGCTGCAGGCGTGCAGCTTAGACTCGTGCGGTATCCGTAGGTTCCCGAGCTCTCCCTCCCTTACGCCCACACGTAGTAGACGTCTCCAGAGACCTGGAAGAGAAAGAAACCGCGTGGTAACGTCGGCGAGTGGTACGCGCCTGTTGTTACGGTACGGTTTCACACGCACACACGCACGCACGCACGCACGCACGCACGCACGCACGCACGCACGCGTTTATGAATCTCGTTTCTTGTGATACTTTTGATACTTTTGATACTTTTGATACTTTTGATACTTTTGATACTTTTGTGATGCTAATGCAGCGCGCGTGCAAGGATGGTTTCACGTAACATAAATGAACTAAATTACCGTTCATAGCGAATCATCGCGAGTCTTAATCTTATACCTATTAGACTCGCACCTGATTTTCTTAGATCTTGGCGCCCATTCTTTTCAATGCCAGGACGGCGTTCACCGCTTTCTGTAAATGTAAATAAAACACGTGTTTACTGACAAGGCGCAACAGCACAACCCATGACTACGTTACATGCACAACTACCAACCTGTAACACGACATACTAGGGAGTAATTGCAAGAATATATGTTCGCTTAATTATTAACTTCATCGTGTTGCATATAGCAATTCACATTCGATTACACGTTTTGTTTGTATTCATGATCGTATCATAATTCGATTATATATCATGTTGGAATAAACATAGGAGTTTTTACTATGCTATCCGTGATGTACTCACTTTCCACCTCCTCTTGATAACGTATCTCTTCAGCTTAGTCTTGTCGAGCTGTTTGTCCGAGACTTCCCTCTGCAGCAATTTATATCATCATCAAGAATCAATTATTATATTATAATTTCAGCACCGTATTCATCTGTGTAGCGGCGAGCCAACGAACACTGACGGTGCGCTATCATATCTGTATACGATATATTACATCGTCAATGGTTTTGCCAGATATATCCTCACATCTGAATGTAAAATTAATCTGTTCGCGTTGCAAATTAGCAAAGGTGTGTTTCTCTGAGACTGAGGTCACTTTGAGTCAACAACGTCCAGAATTAAATGGCGCTTGCAACAGTCATACGCACGGAATTCGAATGCGTGGAACAGCTCGAGGCTCTAGTGTTTCTCTTACCTTCAGCCAGTTGTGATTCAAGCATCCCTCGGCCGACATACGGGTTCTTTAAAGAAAAACGCAACATTTAAAAATGTTAATAATTATTGATAGATTATTAGTATAATACACAATGCGCCAATATACAATCCGCAATTTTTATTATTAGATTTAGTTCTTAGCGATAGCGAGGCGAGGTGCGCTACCGATTATATGGCCATTGAGGCCAAGGTAGATTGCTACCGATACATATTTGCATTATACTAAGGCATTAATACTTGACAGTTGGAATTACCTATACATAGCACAGTCACTAAAGTTTTTCCCGTGTTCATTTATTCATCCATCCATTCATTCAATCATTTCTCTGACAGGAAATCAATCTATGCGTGCTAGTGCGCTCATATCTACACCAGATGGCAGCAGTTGTGCGTACTCGGTACACTAACTATATTTTCGCGAGCGTTGTTCACTCGGTATTACACATCGAACGCTCCGGATATACAAGCTAGATGTGAAATTTGGCGAGGGCTACTTACGCTATGTCTTTCACCAAGAGATGATTGATGAAGTCTTTGGCAAGGTCGGATATCTCATCGAAGCTTTCATCGTCGTAGTCGAACTCTCCCGAGGTGACATTCGCCAGCGTTTCATTGTCATCGTCGCCCATGAATGGTGACAATCCCGACAGCCTGTCACGTAACGACGACGGTTACACGACACAGCGTGACACTACAGCTAAACGAACTCATCAGTTAGGGAATCGAGTGCTTCATAGATACGTGTAAAGCGCAGACCCGGAGCGTCTCTACGGGACGCAGATCCGCCGCTACTTCGCCATGTGGGGTTTGACAAGAATTTTACTCCATTGAGCTATAAAGTAAACGATTTAGTGGTGCACCATAACTGCTCCCACATCCTCGTTATATAATCATAATGAACGTAAACCTCTTTACATCGTCCTCGCTGTTTATGTGCGGTTATAATACAGTGCTAGACATCATGAGTCTAACCATTGCCGATAGTTCCTGGAAAGTTGATGCGTTCACGATTTATAACGAGCTATTTCCTAATGGTAAAGAGTGCCTTATACCAAAATATTATCACATATTAAAGCTAGCCGAGTGTGGCTTTTGGTAACTACGTGGATAGCTATGTGAGAAACTATGCATAGGTACCTATGTATATAGGCATCAATGAATATAGGTATACAGTTTGCTGGACAGATAAGTAGCTATGTATACGGGTAGATAGCTGTGCGTGTAGCTAGGTAAACAGCTATGCGTATAGCTATATATATATATATATATATAAAGGTAGTTAGCTATGCATGTAGCTATATATGCCTATATATATATATATATAATTATATATATATATATATATATACAGATAGCAGCAATACGTGTAGTTATCTATATCTACGTGTAGCTAGTCATGCGTGTAGCTATGCTGTATAGACAGCTAGCGGCACTCACAGCACGTAAGTGATGACGCCGACGCTCCACATGTCCGTGCCGTAGCCGATGCGGTCGTAGTTGATAACCTCCGGAGCGACGAACTCCGGCGTGCCAAACATGGCCGTCGCCGTCACCTTCGGGTCGAACTTGCGCGCCAGTCCGAAGTCGATGAGCTTGATGCGGTTACCTGTTCTCGTCACGCACAGAACGTTCTCTGGCTGCGCGACGCAAGGAGAGCAAGGTGAGAATCGGTCGGTACGTGCGCCGCACGCACGTATGCACGTACGAATATTAGACGCACGCACGCACGCACTAACGTAACTACGTTACACGTACACACACGCGTGCGTGCGGACGTATGCACGCGCCCGCACATACCTACGGACAAACGCATATACGCACGAGCGGGGCGGGCGCACATGCACGCCTCATCACATATACACGTATTTTAGATAATTTGAATATGAGGAGATATAATTAATATGAGGAGATAAGATAGAAGTGCTCAATATTTAATAGATTTTCATCGCGAAAGGTTCGAGATGGTAGTAGCAGCGGTGCAGGGCACGGCCACGAAACAGTACGGTGTCACTGAAACCATGACTAAATATAACTTTCATTCATTTCATTAATTATTATTATTTACTTGTTAAATACTTTATTTATTTATAATTTGGTATTAATTTATTAATAGAATTATTGTCACGCATACGACATTGTCGCACAACATTACCTTCATGTCTAAATGCAGAATGTTCTGTGTATGCATGAACTTGCAGCCTTCGCAAATCTGTCGCAGAAATATCGAGCAGACCTTCTCTGTCAGGATGAATTCCTCGTCGATGACGCGGTCAAACAACTCTCCGCCGGATATCCTGGTAAAAAGACTCATCGATGACGTCACCCGGTTGTAATACTCGTCATGAAGTATGAGTCATGGTACATAGTACATTAGTACATTGGTACATTGGTACATTTGCTCCTTATAAGGGCAGTATATTGTTAGGCAGAAAAGACGATAGAAACCCCACCAATGTCTTCGTCATGTTTCAATTAGACAACCGTGTGACCGTGTGATACATTTTACAGTATAGCCACTCGGTGACATGTGTGCTGGTAAACTTATCGTTACATAATATGATAATTATAATATTAGATAGGTAACGAGCAATATCATTAAAATAAAATAAAACCAGAAATAAAGAGAAAGTGAAAAATATACGAATATACGACCATAGATGGCCATAGAAACTCATCATGATCACGGTGATGAGCTATCATATGATATGATATCGTATCGTATCGTATCATATCATATCACACCACATCACATCACATTACATCGTATCATATCGTATCATATCATATATCGCATCGTATCGTATCGTACCGTTTCGTTTCGTGTCGTATCGTATCGTATCGTATCGTATCGTATCGTATCGTATCATATCATATCATGTCATGTCATGTGATGTCATTGATCACCGGTGATCAGCACGCTTACAACTCTAAGAAGAGGACCATCTCAGCGCCGTTGTCGTAGGCAGCGTATAGCTGCAGCAGGCCTGGGTGCTGGAGCTCTTGCATGATGGCCACCTGTAAGTACCGACACGTGTCTCAGTCATCATCCGGCGTATCAAGTCAGCACCGACCGCGCGTCATGCCCGAGGCAATGGCGAGTGTATGATTGGTAGCATTAGCCATTAGTAGAGGTAAATAATGACAAATATTGTCATATATTAATAATGACATATATTTGTCATTATTCACTCCTGCCATCAGCCTGGTTTAGATTTACGCGCAGAGCATTATCTGTAAATGGCGGTGGATAGCATTGGTTATGTTTCGTTATTAAGTTTTTTTCTCGAGCGGGTTGATTGAGCATGATCGACGCCGTGCGACGCGCGTAGTTGCGTTTCGCAGTGCAACCAGGTGGCGCCACGTGACGTCGTGAGACAGGCAGCTACGTCACGGTGCCCTTGAGCGTGATCTATTTTGGAGAGGCGGGAGGGGGAGGGGGAGGGGCGGAGAGGAGGGGAAGGGGGAGGGGGGGGAGGAGAGAGGGAGGGGAAAGGGAGGGGAGGGGGGGGGGGGGAGGGAAGGGGAGGGGCTGCTCGCGCAGGGAGCGTGAGCGGTGGATTTTACTGCGTGCCTCGGCGGGACGAGCGGCATTTCTTGCCACGCCGAAAAACAGCGCCAGCCTGCGAGTTCGGTTTCATAGAAGAAAAAACGACAATGCGGTTTCGCGGCCGGTAGGGGGCGGTGGGTATGCGGTGGCCGCACATGCGTACAGTGCGACATCCGGGCCAGTGCAAGCTCACCCTGTTGAACACCGCCGTGTGAACTCAGAGCAGTGTCTAATTCGCGCACACATCTGGCGAAGCATGTTATTGGTGATGTAATAGGTTTTTCTCGCGTCGGTTTCAATTAGCGATTCGCGGGCGCTAGATTAGCACCGATCGGCACGCGTTCCCCTCCCCCGGTCCTGGCGACACAGCCCGGCCCCTCCCCCGTCCCCTGGCGGCACAGCCCGGCCCCCTCCCCGGTCCCTGGCGACACAGCCCGGTTCTGTTATTTGTTATTGCGTTGGTTTCTATTAGAAGTAGATAATAGGGAATATTATTATTTTAATTATAATTAAATTGTATTAATTTTATTACCTACTTCTGTTTCTATGTAAACTGGTTAACTATAGCAAGATAGGCGGATGTGGTTGCAGACTGCCATGCATGGAAATAATAAGGATTGGCCGAACAGGGAATAGAGAGTATAGTTGTCGTCGTAAGCAGAGGTAATAAACGATTTCTCACTTGTAGTAAGCATATGTCTTGTAGATGCACGCGCGGCACACACCACACACACGCGCGTCACACACACCACACACACACCATGCACACGCAAGAACGCACACACACACACACACATACACACACACACGCACGCACCACGCACACACGCGCGCAAGCACGCACGAACGCACGCACACACACACACTCACTTACCACACACACACACACACACACACCACACACACACACACACACACACACACACACACACACACACGCCACACACACACACATGCACGCACGCACGAACCCACGCGCACCGCACGCCTCACTCAGCTAGAGGGCAGAGTGTACGTATAGAAGATACTACCTCGTTCTCCACCTCAAGCCGCTCGGCCGGTCGCGATGTCTTTATGAACTTCGCCGCTAGGATCTTGCCGGATGACTTCTCCTTACATCTGTACACCGAGCCGAACTTACCC